ATATATATGCGATATTTTCCTGTGTCCGGATGATTGGGTAGAAGCAAGTTGTGTGTAAGTGAAAATAGAGAACTCATGTACACCAAGGTTGCAAAGACGTCATTTTTTAAGACACTCACTGTGTCTTAGCATCGACTATAACGATCCCGAAGAATTCATCCAAGGAGGCTAACGCAATCCATGTCCCCAAGTCCGTTCATAGTCGATTGAAAATACAGTACCGTTGACATTTTTGACCTAGCATCGGCCTCGGTGGACATCGCGCACCGTGGCAACCTTTGTGGTGATATGTGCAAAACATGCCCCAACAAGCGGAATTTAATCTGCGGGTACTCCAAACTCGGACCAGAAAGTGCCACAGACTCGGACTCGGATTTAGCTACCATTTAAAGGTATAGTAATATTGAAACAGATCTCCCCGTCAGCGCCAGAGCATAGAGCCGTCTAAATTGTAAGTTTCAAGGGTTCTAGCTGAGGTAGCATGTTGGCCGATCTGACAGTGTGCGGACCTTGATTGCAAGCAGGCGAAATGAAGATTTCCGTTTTATCAACCCTATAGCTTTGGGTTGGTTGATTTTACTAGTTGACCGTTGAATGATATCCCATGAGTGGCGTGAACAGCTAGCACCTTGTACGATTCAGATGCGAGCGAGAAAACTAGACAAATGAGAAATAAGGTTTTCCAAATTGGTGCCCAAGACTTTAGGGCACGACAGACTTCGTGGAAGCCCACGACAACAATAGTGTTTTTTTTGGGAACTTTGACTAGAGCTTTTGACTCAGAGACCGGAGCCATAAGGTAGCGGGGTATGGATCCGACGCGGAAGCGTGACCGAAACGTCCGTGCAGGAGCTTCTCTAGAGCCGTCACATAAGGTCTTGGGTTTCGCTTAAGTGTGTTGCTCGTTGGTTCAGCGATTGACGGTCCGCTGTTTGCGATCGGCCCTTAGCCTTATGCATCGAATGAGACAAGACGAAACAGTCCCTTAATGCCTGTCGGCTGCCCAGCTTGGGCGAGCGAAACTAGTCCCATAGTGCGAAGACTGCTTGAGAGGAAGCCCCAAGTACCACGCTCGTACGTAGTCTGGCCCAGGTTGGACGGAGTGAGCGGGTTAGAAACTTACAAGTAAGCTTTTTTTCATTTTACTTCCTTTTATTGAATATACAAAGATACAATTTTTCAGGAAGGGGAAGCGGACAGTCAAAGGGCTGCCATACAACATACAAAGGGGGAAAGTCAGGCGGTGGTGGTGGGATTCGAACACTTGTCCTCCGGGGTGATAATTGGTGACGTTAACATCGGGCCACCACCGCCCCGGTGTCGGGTGTTTGGGAATACATCAATCAAGAACTCGCTTTCGCATCGAATCCAGCTCAATGGGCTCCGTTGGTTAGGACACGTTTTGCGTGTGACCTCTACCCATTGGTCTTTCATGCACGCTGAGAACTGTGGCTCAGTTCACGGGGTCATGGAAGCAGGCAACCATGTTACTTGGCCTATCTGAACTGTTTTATTCCCCTAAGAGGTAGTCATCAGCTGATCCCAGTGATCAACCACGAACGCAACGTGTTCCCTTTGAAACTACTGGCCCCTGTTGCTACCAGTGATCATTGTTTTCTTATTGTTAGACAATGGATATACTACCGCACCATTTATCAAACATTCGTACATTTACGGAATTTTTAACCCGGTTAAATCTCTCTCCACAATCGTTCCACAGAGATTGTTCGAGTTTAGATTCATTACTGCGTATTGCAATCACCTTTTCACTTAAACCACGAAAAAATACTTGTGGTGACGAAGAAACGTCGTTTGTCTGAAATGGACGAATTACATCGTCGTTTCCGAAATCATCATAAACGCACAAAGAAAGGGCCCATGAATCTCGACACGCATCAGCCATCAAGGCTGCGATAACACATGAATGAAACCTTCACCACCCAAATTTCTTGAACAAAAAAAAACATAAGGCTTCTTCGGCCTTGCAAAACTTCCTCGACTGCTGACCCTGGCGATCCTCCTTCCGGCGAGTCTGTAATTTGGAGGAGCACCCTCTCCAGGGCGATTACTCTTTATCAATAAGTCCCTATCGTTTTGAACGTATCTTGATTTTGTTGCGTCATAATTACAATCCTAAACTACTCATTATCAGCCGTCGTCGAGAAACGGTTCTGTCAAAGTGCGCTGAACCCCGCAGTTTTAAAGTGGACTGAGGAAAGTTACTGACAGTCACCACCATTCCACATGAACTGCAATTTGCATACAAGTTCAAAAGGATTTACCCTGGACGTTGTGACCATTCTAATCTATTTGATTAGGAAATCATTGAACAATCAAGTCAATCCTATCTGTTTTCGATTCCAGAATATGTCTATTATGACATGAGAACACACCTTCAGAGGCGAACAATTGTTTTCATTGATTCATCTGTTAACCTGTAAGGCAAATGGCATGTTAAACGAGAATAGACATTCAATCATTCAAAAGTAACGGTGATTAGTTGGCAGGGATAGGGATGTGCAGTGAGTAATGCGATGAGTTTCACACCACCAGGTTACCACAACTCTGCCATCGGATTGTAGCGCGATTGGTCTTCGACCACGGCAGTTGAATGGCATGAATCAGTCCACCTCTTCATTCTATCTGTGGCAACTTTGTTGATTATTCGTCTGCGTTTCATTTCGTTTCTCGACCATCCCTCGTTTGGATGTTGAGTTTTAAGGCACTTTTAGACGGCAGCTCTCATGGCTTCCGAACTGTTTCACAGAGGGTGGGCGAATTCATCAATTTGGACAAGAGTAGGTCAAGTAGTGATCATAGGACAACAGGATGATTGCCATGATCTGAAATGGAGGCAAACCAATTTTCGCCTTCTACAGATGTTTGCGGATCAGCGATGAATTCTAGCGGTCGTCCATTGTGGTCGACTACGGGGGGGGGTGGGACTTGTGTTGCGAATGCCACAGAATGGGCTGTCGCAGTGCGTGATTTTCGCTGAGGCAAGCACAGGATGGACAAGGTCAAGGGCTGTCAAAAAGAGACCTGGTATGGTGGTTACACACACTGAGTGACATAGCTGAGTGCTGTCAAACCGTGGCGCTCGTGCACCTGTTCATAGTCCTTGCAACCTCAGTCTACATGAACTTTCCATCTTCTGTTAGAATTTGCTGTGAATATTCAAATCTTCATTCTGCTATTTTATTCGAACTGCCAGCCCAAAGACTCTAACCGAAGCCGGCGAATGAAGACGCATGGTTATTGGTTGTAAAAATTAAAACCGATGATGGTCTAGGGAAAAACTGCAGAGAAAAATGTCTCCCCGTTTTCCTGTTCACTAGGATGGGGTGTTGCTAGGGTAACTAAGGCATGAAAAAATCGAGCCTCGTCCGCAATTCCATTCGGGTATCACAAAATAAGTACGAACTGCAATTAACTCAGACGGAATGGTACCGTCAAGAACTAAATTGAGGAAAATGTGGACACCTTTGGTAAACACACGGGAGAGACAAAAATGTGAACAATCATACAAAGAGGAGCGCAGAAGACTCACTTGAAATATCTGAGTTCCCAATGTGAAATTTGCAAACTCTGTCATAATCTCTTCGTGGATCTTTTCTATGGAATTTTTCCAATCAATGTTGAACCCTTTGATGATTCGAGTGACTCGAGCTGGTTTCAACAGATGAGGAGGGATGAAACAAAACCAAAAATTAAAAATTTCCATACCGGTGGCAATAAAATGAGGAATTAACCAAGTAGATAAATCATGGGGATGCAGTTGGCATGGACAGTGAAGACATCGCTAAAGCACTGGTCAGTTCGATTTAGGTGAACGTCTTAAAACATTTTGCATTCATAGAAAAGGATTCTGACCATGAATGATACACTTGGCTTCATGTACAAGTACACAACACTGCCACGATTGAAATTAAATGACTATCAAGCACAATCAGCTTGAACAGTGAATTTCGTCGTGAAATATGAACCGGAAGAAAAGTTTGTACAATATACCAGGTAGTTGAATTCGGGATATTATCAACGGCGTGGCTATCGTCGAAGACCGGTGCCGAGATGCGNGCTTACATAGGCTGTACCATAGGATGGGCAGGGCAAATGTAAAACGATTTAATCAGCTACACGATGATCAAGTGGGTAGTATGCTTGCGCCCTACGTGTGGGATCTCAAGCGACGGATACACACTGCTCATAAGAACCGACCTGATTGCATGGCTGAGCAGTGCTTGCAGTTTTTCAGTTCCGTATTTTGCCCCATATACAATAAAAAATGAATGAAATCCCTCATTACCCCCCAACATAATGATTTTGCTGGGGTTGCACACCGACTGATTGTCGCTACTTCGCAAGTGTCAATGGTATCAACTGGAAAGCGAAATAAATATGACTAAATAACATATACACGACAGAATGAAGGAGAAAATGAACACAAACAGAAATCGACTACAGTTTTAGGGGTTGGGCATCGCTTACTTTCTTCCGCTCTAATATTACTTCCGGATTTCCCGTCAACTGGTTCCCACAGCATTGCCGAAGACGAACTGGTCCCACCTCGTGCATGCCGGGACTCGGCGTCCCTTACAAATGAAATTAAACTACCAAAATACGGAGCCAACGCCTCGTCAATGAACGTGGCGGTATGCTGGGAAGCCAATTCACGACAGCGGAGAACTTCGGGTGCGTCCACCGCTCCACGTTCCTGTGATGGAGAAATAGGAAAGTAAATTTTGTGATGAGGCATGTAAATAAGACAACACCCAGAACTCGGTCGCCCTACGACAACACGTAATATAAACTTCGCGAAAAAATACAAATTACTCGGCACGCCTTTACTTGTCGCCATTTTTCAATTTGTAGATACCCTTGGAAAACGTGAAAATGATATTCCCAAAGACGTTTCTTTCCGAAGTATCGCTTCCCGAGCCGACCCTTTAGAGTGAGGCAGCGCCAGAGTTCAGAGCGGTCGACCGAGTCGGAAGCCGCTTTGAAATCGTGGAAAACAGAGATGGTGGGTCTACGAAAAGAATGGCAATGCTCCAGAATTTGGTGAGGAGTGAAGACGTGGTCGATACAACCTCAACCAAATCTAAACGCAACCAGGTTATCATGTGTGCACCCTTCACTTCTGACAGAAAATCGACGGAATATAATACGAGCGAGAACTTGTGAGGTAATGGTGATTAAACTAATTCCTCTGTGGTTTTCACAGGAGGACCAGTCGCCTTTCATGTAAATCGGTATGATCAACGATTCACACCATTCAGTTGGAACCTGTTCACTTTCGCACATTGAGCCCAGGAGTCCCGTCAAATCCGAGACTAACGCCGAGCCTCCATCCTCAAACACTGATGGGAAAGACCCATCTGGACCAGAGGCCTTGTGCCTTTTGAGATAACTTAGTTCCCGGGAAACCTCTAGTTTAGATGGGGGACTGGTATCAACTGGGAGTACTTGTCCAGTCGAGGTGCGGGGTGATAAGTCAGACTACGATGAGAGCCAGTTGAACTGCCAAAGCTTTGTCCATCTCTTAACACTTTTCTACCAACCACTTCTCGTGATCATTCTCCAAACTCTTGCTGATTTGGAGTTTAAGGGAGTTGCACTCTGTGTCATATGCGCCATCGGGAGGGATGGTTCTGTGGGCGT